GAGTGTCTTTGTACTGACACTGTTTAAAAGCATCACCAAAGTAGTCTGCAGCCTGATTAGCCAATTTAGCTATGATTGCATCTTTCATTTTATCTGGAATAAAGTATTAAATTGACCATTATAATTAAAACAAATAAGATAAACTGATATATGACTCAGTTAATATAGGCATTGCAAACAAAAGTTTATAATTTGTCTGTAAAAATTCTTATTGATAGGGGCCGGAGAGATGGCTCAGTAGAATAAGTGCTTCCCTGGTAAGCACAAGGACCTGAGTTCAATCCCCGGTTCCACCCAAAAAAAATTCTTATTGATGAACTTGAAGTCTTCTGTATAAAACTATTTTTCCCTTGGGCAAATCCAAAGAGAGAACATAAATTAATGTTTGCTGACCACTGGGAAAAAGTATGAATTACTAATGCATATACAGTTACTTTTGGGGATGATAATGTTCTAAAATGATTCTAGTAATAGAAAACTACACTAAAAAATACTGAATTTTAAACTTCAAAAGGATGAATTTTGGTGTACATGAATTCCATCCCAATATACATTAATTCATACCTTTCAACATGATGATTGTGCTCTTATTTTTAATTTCCCTGCATGAGTGAATATTCAGCCTATTTTCTATTCTCTCATACTAATGTACATGTCTTACAGAATTGTTCTCATTATCCCATTCACCAAGGACTCTGCCTGCATGGCTCCTGCCTATCATTTAAGAAACGCTCTTGATTAATGAGTATAAAATTAACATGACTCCTCGTCTCTGTACCACAACCAGAAAACCAGTCACTATAACATAATCCATTCAAATTTTCCTCACTGCAACAATCTCTTACCATGAAATCATCTTACCATTAATTTTTTGATTATCATCTCCCCTATACCAAAATGTTAACTTTCTAGGAACAGAAGTTTTGCTATTTATTAACTCGTGATCTAACAAGTAGAACAATGCCTACAATACAGTAAGCACAAAATAAGTATTTGCTAAATGAATGTTTTACAATATTACAAACATAAATACTACTTCAACCAGGCACAGTGGGCCATACTTCTAATCCCAGCACTTTAGAGGTTAAGGCAAGAGCCTCAGAAGGATTGCTATGAATTCAAACTCAGCCGGGGCTAGGCTACACAGTGAGACCTTGTCTCAAAAAACTAACAAATAAATAGATTAAATAATTAATTTCAAAATCTAGTGTTTATAAACAAAAATTCATTCATTAGCCCTCAAACACTGCCCATAATCTTGTAGTACAAGTTCAAAAAACTAAAAGCTAAAATTTTTTAATAATCTCTGTATCATGTTCAAAAAGGGCTACATAGAACATACTGTATTCTAATCACCTTCCTAGATTAAAAGCTTATTGCTTCTTTTAACATGTAAAAATTAAGAGTTACCTCTTGTAGCTTTTAAAAAAAACACTTCTTGGGCCTGTGCCAGCATGATAAGACTGAGGGTCCCAACAGTATCTGGAGATATGTCCACAGTAGGCTCTCGATTTAAGGCAGATAAAACCGTCTCCTTAATATGTAAAAAGGCACCACTAGCAAACTAAAAAGGAGAGGAAAGAAACTTTTTTTAATATATAGGAGCTCAGCAAGACAGCATTTTCTACTTCAACACACAAAAATCATTTCAAATGTTAAATCTGTGAGCAGTTATATTTAAATTTCATGTTATAAAATGAATCTAAAAAAGCTGACCTTCAGACAATTCTTTTTTAAAGAGAAAAAGGACAAACAATGGAACAGATTAGTAGGACAGTTACAATAGTTGCTACATTAGTTGTTACAATAGTTGATACAGGGGCCAGGGAGACAGCTCAGCAGTCTAAGCACCTGCCTGGCAAGCACAAGGACCTGGGTTTGATCCCTGGTACCACATGCTGTGCCAGCCCCAGAACCTGGGTGCACCTTGCAGGCCACCAAAACCAGGCATGGTGGCACAGGACTAAAAGGCTGAAACAGGAGGATCACTAAGAGTCTGAGCTGCATAGCAAGACCCTGTACCAAATACATATATTAAAAAAACAAGTATTAAAAACAATAGTTGATACATTTCTAAAAGACAGTTCAAGACTTACCTCTACAGAATAGCAAGAGGTTTAACAAAGATTAAAAGTAAATTACAAGAAGTTGGATATGGTGGCACATGCCTACAATCCCAGCACTGAGGGCTGAGACAGGAAAATCATAAATAGAGAAGACCAGCCTGAGTGACTTACCTAGAACCTGTCTTAAAACAAATCTTAAAAGAAGGGTTGAAGTACTGCAAAGGTTCTGAGTTCAATCACCAGTACCAGAAAAAAAAGGTAAATTACAGGGGGAAAAAAGGTAAATTAATGGTAAAAACTGATCAGGTTTATTTGTTTTTAAATATACTTCTTCAAATTTTATCTAAGAATACAGGAAATTAAATACACTAATGAAATTTTTTTTTAGTGCTTAAATGCTCTTGCTCTGGTTCCAAACAAATTCATCTCTTAAATAAGCTTGGAATGGTAAAGATACGCCCCTAGTCCTCTAAAAAACATTACTATCCATCGCTCATCATTTCTGCTTGGCTGTGCGAGTTTTCTAGTGAAATGTTCCCCATTAAATTTTTCATCCCACTGATATTTTGTTAATGACAATACTAAAATAGCTTTGTTTTTGTGGAAAAAAAAAAAAAATACACTGTGAAAGAGGAAGAAAGTCCTGCAATCAAAAGGGAAATAGGTAGTTTACACGAAGATAATTCAAAGATAACTGTGCTAAAATGAGAATCATGCTTTATGCATTTATAAAGTCCTATAAAATTATCTGCAAGGATTGTTCACCTGGCCTTGGTTTGTAACTAGCAGATTACAGACTGGAACAGTGAGGGATGGAATCTCTTATGCGCAGAGAAGGAACCAGAGGTCAAGAGGTATTAAAGAACTCGCCCATGGGCACACAATGGCTTCTGGGTGGCAAAGGGCCCAGACAAGGAGCAAAGTTTAGTACTACTACTTTTCTTTCCCTCATATGAGGTGGCCTGCTGTGAAGACTGACAGAATAGAGTATGTCCTAAGTCATTCAAGGTGACTTCTAAGATCTCTCATGCCAATTAACTGTTATAGTTAACAGAAAGCTAAATAAAATTTTATGACTTTTATATTTTTAAATATTTGCTATTTATGACCCAAAAAGAAATGTTATACTTATCAATTAACCCCAACTGTACAGCAAGTCATAACTTCACTGTATGTTGCTAAATTGTACTTTTCTTTCACTTTCCTAAAATAACATTCCTCTTCTCTCTTCTGAACTTAAACAATGGTAAAAATCAGACTCAAGAGAACCTCTGAGACAAGCAAATTCCACAGGGACACAGAGGAACACCTAGAACTCTGTAAAATTTGGAATAACATCTGAAGTGCAAATGAAACCTATTTCTGACCTTAGTCTCCTCATCTGTAAAATGGGAATCACATTTTACATAACATGTATCATGCAGTAAGTCAACGAACAGAAATGAAATCACTGTGTAGACTGTATATTATAAAATATGGAAACATTATATATGCTCTCTCTCAACATAATCACTTATGTTCTTTGAAACAAAAATTGGTGAAATGATAAAAGAATAACTCATATGAGCAAATGATTAATGCCTAAAACAGAGTTAGCCACCTTAGGATCATTATGTGTCTGACCAAATTTAAATATGACTCGCCATAAGACTCAGAATTAAACTTATTTTCCTGCCAAAGTTCTTAACTGTTTGGATACCAGTGAAATTTTCAGGGTCTCACTCTATAAAACATATAAAACAATGCATAGATGCTTTAAATTGTCATTTATTTAATAGGAATTCACCATAAATTTATATAATTATATCTCATATTTATTCACTCAATGTTCATTGAGTCTCTAGTCTATGCCAGGCACTGTGCTAGGTGCTAGGTATGCAATGGGGAGGAAAAACAGACTTGGTATATAAGTAGTTTACTATTAAAGGTTTTAATAATAAGAATAAATTTTTTTAAAATGACATTTTTCAGTAACATCTGCTGTATAAACAAATATCATCTATAAACCTAAATGTAAACTATTTTCTATTTAGTCCAACTTATGTTGATCATTATAATATAGTAACTATTTTTCTGCGTACCTGGTAATGTTTAGCAGCGATTTTCAATCCTTCATCATTATCCAGGTTCTGTTCTGCTGCAATCTGGCTAGCTAAAGCTGCACAATTGAATAACACACAGCTCTTTTCATATCCTAAGCTTGCAAGAGCTGTAAAAAATTGAGAGGAAAAGTTTATCAGATTATTTTTTCTAAGTAAAATGTTTCAAATAGAAATATTGTATGTCTTCTGTCCTACTACCACTCAAAAAACAAGGCTCTAGGCCTTTTTTCTCACCTATTTAGAGCTGCCCAGCCAATCATCTACTTCCGCAATATTCTCATCATCAAAAACTCAAAAAAGATCAGAGGCTGGGGGTTTGGCTCAACTGTACAGTGCTTGTCTAGCACAGCTAAGACCCTAGGTTCAATAAAGGTTTTTTTTTTTTTCTTTTTACCTCTGTCAGTGTCTCTCCATAGCACCAAAAACCTTACAATTTCTCATTTAATTTCTTAAATTCAAACATGTTATTTCCATTTTCCCATCACCTCTCAAAACTGTATCTTCCCAAATATTTAAATTCAGTTTTTCATTACTACAAACCTAAGTCTCCTCTCAGAGGGCGAGCAGATTAATTTGCTAAAATACAACTGTGAGTAACAATGTATAACTTCACATGCATTAGCATAGCTACTAATTAAAAAGAGAAACAACAAGTGGAAACAAGAGAAACTGGAGCCTTTTGTATACTGTTGATGGAAATACAAAATGCTGCAAGAATATGGTGGGTTCCCAAAAAATTTACAAAAACAGAATTACCACACAATCCATTTTACTTTCCGGCATATACCCAAAAAACCTGACAGTGAGGTCTCAAAGATATATGTGCACACCCATGTTCACAGCAACATTATTTACAATAGCTAAAAGGTAAAAAGTATTTCAGTCCATCAACTGATACATGGATAAACAAAGTGATATATACATACACTGAAATATTTTTCAACTTTTAAAAGAAAATCACATGCTAGAATATAAGGAGATATGACTACATTAAATAATCCAATCACAAAGACACACACTGTATGATTCCACTACATGAAATACATAGTAGTCAACTTCACAGAAACATAAAGCAGGTGGTCCTATCAAGGAAGCAAGAGGGCAACAGCATTTTGAGTACATACAGCATTTCAGGTGTATAAGATAAAACCTTCTGGAGGTCTATCACATTGAACTGTACCCTTAAAAAAATCAAGATGCTAAATTTCATGTTATGTTTCTTTTTTTCTTGGTTACCATGTTATATATTTCTTACAGTAATTTTTTTAAAAGAGTGTGATTCTATCTGCATGAGTTATCTGGAGTGAATTCAGAGACAGAAAATATAATGGTAGTTACCAGGGGCTGGTAGGAAGGGAAGAATGGAATACGTACAAGGTTTCAGTTTTATAAAATAAAAGAGTCCTAGAAATAGATGGTAGTGATGACAGAACAATAAAAAAAAGATAAGTGGACCTCATGCTACTGAATGGCACTGAATGGCACTAATAAATAGCTATACTGGTATATTATATATATTTTAACTCAACTAAAAATAATTTTTTAGGGACAGCAAGACAGCTCAGCTGATTAAGCACCTGCTTAGGCAAGCGCAGTGACCAGGGTTCCATCCTTGACACCACATGCCACCTGGCCCCACCCCTAGGCATGCTGAACCGGCCACTGAGACCAACTGTGGTGGTACATGCCTATAATCCCAGCACTGAAGAGAGTGAAAGCAGGAGAGGATCACAAGTCCAAGCTGCATAATGAGACCCTGTACTAAATACATAAAAAAATAATAAAATAATTTTTTCTAAAGACTGGGGATGGAGCTCAGTGGTAGAGTGTCTAACATACACAAGGCCTGGATTCAACCCCCAGGCTCACCCAAACAAATATAAAGTTAACACATTTAAAAATATAAGAATTATGAGTACAAAAACTCAGAATAATGTTCTAATATTGTTTGGACAATTAAATGCCAGTATTTTGCACTCTGAGTAACTAATTTAAAGATAACAATACACAATGTATTAACCATTGTTACCCTCTCACTTTGTTTTGAAATTTTGTTGTTCTCCTTAAAATAAAAACAAAACACCTCAAAGACTGCCCACTGAGGCATGAGCCATCCCCACTCTGATCACTGACAGTTACTAAGATCTTCCTGCCTAATGTCCCTTGCCTTCTTTCAAGCCCTGTTTAAAAAAACGCCCTTCTCTTTGCTCCCTACAGACAGCCTTTTCACCCTGTCTGCCCTTCCCCAGGCACAATTAATTCCACACCATGTCACTGTCACACAGGCCTGGTGGTCTCAGCTGCTCTCTCCCTCACACTGTTCCTTACAATCACCACCCTACTAATAAAGTACAGGTATTCCAAACAGGTAAGGCAGAGGGGAGGAAAGGAGAGAGGAGGAAAAAAGAAGAAATTATCAAAGAAAAATAAGAATTTCCCAAGGCTAAAGAGATGTAAGTGTTCCCACTAACAGGTCCAACAATAAATATTAACAATAAATACCAGACACAAGGAATAAAATGAGATCCAATTAGATCTTTTTTTTTTCCAATTAGATCTTTTCAGAAGGATTTTTTT